TATTTTTTTTTGAAAAAAAAAAAAAGAAAACTATTCTTTTAATTATAAATAAATAAATCAACTTGTTTTGTTTTATTTCAAAATAAAAAAATTTAATCGATATTTTCATTATTAAAATTTAATATGATAATTTAATTAACATATTAATAAATTAAATTATCAATCATACTAAATCAATCACTGTGTGTTAGATATACTAATATAAACTTATAATATTTAAATAGAATATAAGGATATCAAATACCAAAATGGTAATCCCATATTGTTGGTTGGGAAAAAAAAAAACTAAAGTTAATTGAATTGGCGTGGCAACTCAAATGGTATTGTAACACTTGAGCTCTAAAATTTGGCCAGAATAATTTAATATTAATGGAATAATAATTAAAATAATTTAGTTTTTAATTTTTTTGTAAATTTTTGAAAAAAAAATTAAATTTTGGATCTATTTGAAACTATTTTAAAAAATTAGGGATAAAGTAGAAATAAGAGGCGACCACCAGAGAAGATATCGGAAAAAAAGAAGAGAGGCGGTCGGAAAGCGAATCAGTCACCAGAGAAGAAGATCGGCCACTGTCACCGCCACACTAGAGCCACCACCAATGCCGAAAAGGTAAAACTTTTTTCCTTCCATTCGAAATTGAATGTTAAACCTCCCCACACTCATATCGGAGCCAAAAAGCCAAAGAGTGAGCCAAAAATTCCAACGGAGCTCGGCCGAACCGTCGCAGCCGCAACCCGAAAACTCCTCCAATGAGCTCATTTCCGTTTCCAGTTTCCCTCGATTTTTTTACCGTCGTGTTCCTCGTTTCATTCTGTTGCAGGTTAGCTAAAGAGAAGCCCCAACTACAGGAGATGAACAAAGAAGCTGTCATATCGAGTCTCAATTTTTCTTTTTTCCCGCCGATAGAGACTCCCTAACCCTGTTTTTGTATAGGTTTTCATGAAAAAAGGGCCAAAACTAGCCAAAATCGGCTGAAAACGACCAGGCCGAGAGGAACCACCATTATAGGCGGCGGAGCCAACGCCACTGTGTCGAAACCCTAAACTAGCCGAAAAATTTTGAAAATGCTCATTTTGGCATTTTTGGGTACTTCTGGATACGTGACGCGTGTTCTTTATTTCCGCAGGAAAAATCTAGGAAACTTGAGAACAGTTAGAAGGTGCAGTGAAAAAGACAGTATTTCAAGCACCGATCCGGTGTAAAAATCTCTCACCATTTTCTGATGTTACAGTAAATTAAAGTCTAATAACTAATAACGATGTGTTTTATAAAAATTAAAAATTCCTAAATTAATTACAGGTTATCAATGGAGTCAGAACTTATTAGTGTATAATTGCCTTAGCTGTATTGTTTATTTTCTTCTATACTGTCTAAATTGTTATTATTTATTTAATTTAATTACTTTCTTGTTCATTGATTATTTGACTGATTATTCTCCCCTATCGACTTATTTAAAATAAATGTCCTAATCATGTTTTCTTGATTTTCGTATTGTTTATTTGTATAACTTATTGTTGATCTGTAAATTTGAAATGTTAGTATGTAATTGGTAATTGATTAATGATGTAAATATATGTATGAAAGGTTTATCGGGTACCATGAGGAAGGGTGTACGGTTTCGATACATAGAAAAAATCGTACTGTAAATATTATCTCAATCGAACGAGGTTAAGAAGTTTCATACCGAAAGAGATTGAGAGGTATAGTTCACCCTCAGCCTGGACGGAGTATTGAAGCGATGGTATGTTTCACGCCTATTATCGGACAAAGTATGGAAATGATCGGTTAAATAATAAATTGAATATTTGGTTCACGTATAAGGGAGATCCCTATGGACCCCCAGAGACATTGGTAAGCGAGTAAGAAGATAATTTTACTGTTATTGTTCATTTAAATATGAAATAAAATGTTATTCTAGTTATTATTTTTATAGTTTGGTTTTAGAAACTCATAAGGGTAAGTATGAAAATAACAGTTTTTATGTTAAATGAATTTATTTAAAAAGAAATAATGACTCCATTGGTTGTTTACGATTTTTACCAATATTTGATTTTTGGTATCGGTGCTAATCGTGATATTATTACTTGATTAGTGTAGTTTATCTTTCTATTTAACCATTTTCATATCAGAAAGACTAATATCCAGATCTTGAACAGTAAGAAGAAGGTTACGAATAAAGCTATCTCTCGCATCCTATCTGAGTTGTCCAGCGAATGTTAACTCCATATGATTTTTAGTTGTGTTTTATTTATTTATTTATTTCGTTATTGAAAATTTTCTTAAAGTGATATTTTCAAACCGATTCATTTTATAAAAAATGTAAACTCTAAACTTTTAATTGCTTCTGCTTTTACAATATATATTCATTTCTTTTAAGTTTGGACTTTTTACAGATACAACATGAAACAAATGCATTGTCTTATGTTTGTGTTTTGTAAGGTATTATTGTCGTGGTAAAGAACTTTTTTCAAAAAAATTATACGGTACAATTTAATATGGAAACTTTTAAAATTACAAAATAAAGTGAATTTAGATAATTTAAAGATATTAGTAGATGAAGTTGTGAGAGCAGAAAATTACACAACAAACATAATTATAATATGCTTTCCAGCAAATAAGTGACACACACACACACACACACACACAACCAGTAAAACCCACAAAACAACAATAATGAATCGTTTGAAATTCAAACCGACCAACGGATGAGAAGTAAGTCAAGGCCTCCTCATAAAAAAGGAGATGGAAAGATCATACTCCCCCACCACAAATCCTTCAGGTCCACATCATTATTCTCTCCTCATCTTGTACACAACACAGACAGACATCGCCAATCAAATCACTACTAAGTTCTATAATCCCATAATTCTATGAAATTAAACCAAAAAACCATTTCATTTGATTTAATTTAATTTTAAAACACATAAATAGACTAATTAAGCATTGAAAACAAAACGCCAAAATTTTATTTATTCACCCTACAGATTACTTATATGTAAATAACAGACAAATGGAGGAACATCACCTTCTATATACAAATAAACCTTTTTCTCTCTCGCATCTTTTCTTTCTTGGGGTGTTGTTGCCTCCTTTAGCATTGATGATCATGACATCCAGAATAGGTACATCCACATCTCATATAAAAAAAACACTATTCTTTAATTTCCCATCATTTTCTTTCTTGGCTAAATCTTTTCCAGAGCCAAAAAAAAAAAAAAGAACTAGAAGAGGAAATTAATTAATTAACAAATAACACAAGCATTTGGATTCTCTTCCATACTCTGAACATAGTAGTGTGTGGTCATGTGCGGATTGTATGCTCTGTAAGCCTTGACAAGCTCGTAACTCGGGTCGTACAGCGGATGCAGATGCAGATGGGGATGCGGATGCGGCTGCGGTGCAGGCGCAGGTGCAGGCGCAGGTTGCTCTTTCTTTTTCTCTTCATCTTTCTTCTCTTCTTTTTTGGGTTCTTCTTTCTTTTCCTCTTCTTTCTTTGCTTCCTCTTTCTTGGGCTCATCCTTCTTTGCCTCGCCCTCTTCTTTCTTGGGTTCCTCTTTCTTTGCTTCCTCTTCTTTTTTGGGCTCCTCTTTCTTAGGCTCCTCTTTCTTCTCAGGCTCTTTGGCTGGTCCTACTGAGATGATGTCTGTTGGCCAATATTTTCTCAGTTTGCTCACTACGTTTACAGGATCAACTGTTCCTATCACTGTCAATTTCTTTTCTTTCATGTCCATGGCAATCGAATCAATTCCTGCAGAAACAATTCATGTTTTCTGGTCAATTATTTGTTTTCCCAGTGCAATCAATTTTCTGCAGGAGTTTTTCACATTTTTCAATCATCGTGCCACAGAAAAAGACAAACTAAAGGGCCCATTAATGGAAACCTCAAACAGCTTCAAGACACTACCTTGCAAGGACAGCCATGAACACCATGAAAATTTGCAGGCATGTTTATTTGGGCTTCTGACAATAGTCTTTGTTTTTTCTCAAATGGCTACATACCCAATTAGTAAGAAATTATTCAGGAACGAGTTAAAAAACTTCATGATTGTGAATCGTGATTGGTCTATTTAAACTTATATTCCATAATTTTTCAATAAAACTTACGAAATGCAAAAATCACGTTTCCAAGATGTTTAGGCTTTAACAACCATAAACAGTTTCCTCCAAATGAAGTAGGTGGGGCTTCAATTGTCTGAAATATATATATATATAACAAAATTTTTTCTATATACAATCATTTTAAATTACTTTTAACAAAATACTCATGATAGTACTACGATTTTTTAAAAGAAAAAAGCATCTTACTATAGCATCTTATTCAAACAGTACAAAGAGGAAAACAACAGCAAAATTTCAGCTAAAATGAAATAAATGAAGAGTGTACTTTTTTCTAAAGTTTGTTCACCTTAGTTTACTTTCATCCTAACAGTCAATCACTCATAATTCTTACTTGTTAGGTACCACAAAAGGAAACAGCTCTCGTTTCACTCTTCATTCAACTTCTAGTCAAATTTTCTTCTAATTTTCATATTAATTTTGTTCTAATTTTTCATATCGATCTTCATATGTAGTAGCTAGAAAATAGTGTGTCAGATTCACCTCCAAACCCACCTACAATTATTTGATATGAAAATTCAACCCACAACGCAAAATAAGAATAGAAAATTTATTCTGAGAGCATCCACACCAGAGTAGAACGTTATGAAACATAATAAATTATGTTCTATCTATATAATATTAAATTTAACATAATAGCTTATTAAAACATAAATAAACAAGTGTCCTCTGAAAAACAAAAGTGAGTTGAAGATAAGTTAAGAATTGAAATACGTAATAAAGAAGCAATTTTAAAAAAGAAATAGAAACAAACATATTAACCACACGTAACAAACAAGCAATTCAATAAAGACAAACAAACTACTACTAACAGAGACTGATGTAGTGATGTGCCGCGCCACTTCGTTAGAGGACGAACCGACCCTTCTTTTTTGGTTTTATATACATTTAAATTCTAAATATTTTAAAAAAATAAACAAAAAATAAGCAACACTAATATTTTCAGCTTTTACAACTTTTAAAGGGCAAAATTATATGAACATAATATATATTTTTTTATGTTATCTTAAATTATGATATAACATTTTACTTGTAATTCGTCAAAAATGTGCAGTTTTTTCTTTTTCTCTAAAATTTCCGAATCAATATTTTGTTAATCACCTTCTTTTTCTTTTTTTTTTTTTTTTTTTTTTTTTTTTTACTTTTGATGAATTATGTGAGGAGTTCCTTGTGTTTTGTAATATGATTATCAGATCATAATTCAGGAATTTAAGATTTTCATATTTTGAAATGTAATGTAAATTATTTGAGACTTGATATTTTTATGTAATTAAAAAATCTCATTGAATTATTTTTCTCTGATATTGTGAAATTTGAATGATAATAATCTTTAATTTTTTTATAAAAAAAAAAAACCAGTGAAAAGAATATGATACCTGAAAGAGTAGAGACTGTCTTCATAGCCTTCTGTTTGGCTTTGTCATCATGTAAATCCAGCTTCAATACAACCTTCTGCAGTAAAAGAAGAGATCAGATCAGCTTCACAAGAATCGAAATTCATAATCAACCAAGAAATTTATTTTGCTAACCAATCAAGTTACTAGATCAATCAGAATTCAATAAAAAGATCCGGAATCATTTTATTGCGTTTCTTTTCTCGTTAACTCATCAAGTGAACTATCACTATTTAGATAAAAGAATTTTCCACATATCCAAACAAATACAAGAGCCAAAAAGAAAAAAAGAAATTCAAAGCGATTCCTCACTGACCAAACAAGACCGACAGTCAAAAATCGGAATAAACAAACAAGTTTTAAGCTCAGTAAGAATGACATCAGAGCATTGATTAAAACTTTTGTCAGAAAGAGACCTAAATGACACTCATCCATTTAACGAAATAAATTAAAAATTCTCTTAGGAATCAAATAGATCAAAAACGGCAAAAGGTGAATTCAAGCCAAAACTCATCAACTTAAGCAAGCTCCTCTGATTACTCCGAAACCAATCATTAAATTAAAGAAATCATGAAAAGTGAAAGCCCGTGGAAGTAGAAGAAGAAGAATGAGAATGAGAATCAGAATCAGAATCGAATCCGCGAAAGTAGAAGAGGAAGAAGAATAAGAATCAGAACAGAATACTACTCCTTAAATATATATGAAATGATAAAATAATCAGGAAAGTGGAGATCAAACCTTCATTTCTGAGTTGCCTTTTCAGGGAAAAACAGAGAAAGAAACCAGAAGAGAGAAGATGGAATGTTAGAGAGCGATCGGGATAGCGAAAAAAAGGAGCAAGTGGGTGTTGAAAAAGAAAAAAGAAGAGGAGAAAGAGGATACGAAATCGAATTATTCTTGACAGAGAAAAAGATAAGAGGGATTTGGACAGATTTGAAAGCAAAAGAAAATTCGAATCGAAACAAGAAATGCAGAATAGGAAAGAGAAAAAAAGTAGCTGCAGCAGAAGCTCAGCACATGAATATTGAAGAAAACGTAAAACCACTGATGGGTGGTGGTGAAGTGGAGGTCTAATATACCAGCGGTTTTGAATTCAACATATACATTTTTTAAAATATTTAAATTATCAAAATAATTTTTTTAGCATTTTTTATCACAAAAAGTTGAAAAATAATTACGGTTTTATCAATTTAGTAATTTTTATTTTTCTTAGGATATTTGTTAAATATTTAATTAAATTTTATATTTCCTATTTATACATGTATATAATGCCCTCAGAATAGTTTTGTATGTTTCTGAACATGAACGCAGTGAAAAGAAGTATCGCTTTCCCCACGCCACTCGTGTCCACGCGAGTGACTGCTGCGTCTCTACCACGCGCCTTCCTTCTTTTATTATTATTATTATTTCTTTATAATTATTTTATCTCCTGATCATTCTTTTTGTGTTTTCTTTATTTTTTTTAATAATATAATAATATCGGAATTGTTATTATTGTTTAATGTTGTTATTCTATCCCCACTCCCAAAACATGACATCATGTGACGGACGCTACATTCTGTTCTACAAAATTTTGAAAATAAATGTGATTTTTAAATTAAAATTAGTGGTTAAAAGTTAATTAATCTATACCTCTGTTTTCAATTAATGGAAGAGATTTTAATTTTTGTGATAAAATTAATCTTGCTAAAATAATAATAATAATAATACTGAGTATTTATTTATTATTATTTGATGA